TTATTATGCTAGGAAGAGATGATGCTGAAGAAGATCTTCTTGTTGCTCGGTCTGAATTCCTCGCCACGCTGCCCACATGTATCACTTACGTCTTGGTCATCCCTCTTTTGGGTATCTAAATATAATGTTTCCTCATTTATTACAAGGATTAGATATTTCTGAGTTTCATTGTGACATTTGTGAATTGGCAAAACATACTCGTGTATCTTTTCCTATTAGCAATAAAAAAAGTTATCATCCTTTTCATCTAATTCATAGTGACATATGGGGTCTTTCCACTATACCTAATATTTCTGGGGCTCGTTGGTTTGTATCTTTAATTGATGATTGCACCCGGGTTACATGGCTCTTCCTTCTTAAACAAAAATTTGATGCTAGCACCTAATTTTCCATTCAATGGTTCAAAATCAATTTGGGGTCAAAATAAAAGGCTTTAGGACAGACAATGCTAGAAACTACTTCAATCAAATTCTATCACCTTACTTTCAATCACAGGGGATTATCCATGATTCTTCATGTGTGGGCACACCCCAACAAAATGGGGTAGCTGAAAGAAAGAATGGACATTCACTCAACACCACCCGAGCCTTACTATTTCAAGGGAATGTTCCTAAGTCCTATTGGGGAGAAATCGTTCTTACTGCCACATATATGATCAATAGACTTCCCTCCCGTGTGTTAGAAAACAAAAGCCCCATAGAGGTCCTAAATAGCTTCTACCCTCACTTCAGAACCTCAAATGACCTCACTCCCAGGGTATTTGGGTGTATCGCCTTTGTTCATGTCCACAAACAACATAGAAGGAAGCTAGATCCCAGAGCCATCAAATGTGTGTTCCTGGGTTACTCCTCCACTCAAATGGGATATAAATGTTACAACCCCTCTACCAGAAAATACAACCCCTCTACCATAAATGTTACAACCCCTCTACCAGAAAATTTTACATCTCTGCCGATGTCACTTTCACAGAAAATAAACCTTTTTTTTCCAAGTCCTCTCTTCAAGGGGATATTTCCATGGTGGAAGATAGTACTTGTGAGTCCTTTGAACCACTTAAAACCCTTGACCTTCCACATGCGCCAACCCATGTTGTTGAACCTGAATCAAACTCTCCTCCTGTTCCAGCTGAACCTTAGTCCTCTGAACCAATCACATCTGAGTCACCTGATTCAGAACCCTTATCATCTCCTACTCCAACCAGTGTCACGCTTCCCAAGATTTTCTTAGGTGTATTCAAGGAGAAAGGTCGTTCCTGAACTGACACAAGTCCAAGAATCCAATTCACTCTATCTACTATCTCACTATGTATCTCTCAAGCGTCTATCACCAGCCCACAAAAGATTAATTAGAGTTTGAGCACCATTGTCATTCCTAACAATATGTCTGAGGCATTGACAAAAAAGGAATGGAGAGACGCTATGAAAGAGGAAATGAGTGCATTAGAAAAGAATAAAACATAGGAGATCGTTGGCAAATCGAAGGAAAAAAAAAACATTGTTGATTGCAAGTGGATTTTTACATTGAAGTACAAGGCTGATGGATCCCTTGAAAGATATAAAGCAAGGTTAGTAGCCAAAGGGTACACTCAGACTTACGGGGTGGATTATCAGGAAACCTTTGCTCCAGTTGCAAAAATAAACACTGTGTTGTTATCATTGGCTGTTCACTTCAATTTGCAACTGCTACAGTATGATGTAAAGAATGCTTTCCTTCGTGGTGACCTAAATGAGGAAATCTACATGAACATCCCTCCGAGATTTGAAGGGCACACAGGTAACAAAGTGTGCGAGCTGAAAAAGGCCATATATGGGTTAAAACAATCTCCTAGAGCATGGTTTGGCAGATTTGCAAGAGTCATGAAGGAATCTGGGTATAAACAAAGCCAAGGTGACCACACTCTTTTCATTAAACTAGACATTCAGCTGTAGGGGGAGTAACTGCTTTTTTAGTCTATGTGGACGACATCATAGTGACTGA